ATTGCACGCATCACACGAAAGCATCACTTTTGAGAGTGCTCAATTGTGCGAAGCGTTGCTGTAGTTGGAACACTCAACGTTAAGCATTATGCCGCATAATGCGCTATAATGCTGTAATTGGAAAGCTACCTACATATACATAAGCTGACCCAGCAATCTTTTAATTTAAAAATTATAATTATCATATTTATTTTAATTTTTTAGCCATAACATTAGGGGTTGGCGGTAGTAGGGTGAAAATTTTGGGTATGTGTGTATTTTTAATGCGACATTATGAAAAAATATAAATTTAGTCCATACAATAAACATAAGTATGACGTACACCTATAACTTTAAAACATCATAGACTCGCGCAGTCTAATTTAAGACTTGTAGGCAACAGTCCGAGTTCCATGATATCGTACTGATCATAAACAATTGAGTATTTTAGTTTATCATTCATACAAATTACATTACAATTCTAAAACAAGCCATTTAGGTACAAATTATTGTATGTGTCGCGCGGCTGTGTATCAGTTCCAATTTATAGTTTAACACGCAGCCGTCACCGAGGCGTCGCTGAAGTTATACGATTTTTTGTAGTGAGTGATTTATCTGTTACGTAATTACTATTATAAAAAATTCTGTGCCCCAACCCAATGTTTATTTAACCCTTTGTGGGTTTAAAATGAAATTCGCTATGTCCTTTTTCGAGCCACAAAATATTTCCGCTCAAATTGAATCACATTGCTCCTTAAGTAAGTTAATTAGATAGGTATATTGACTCTGCACGTTCTTTCCGGTTGACTGTTAGAGAATGCCATGGTCAGTGGCGGCGCTAGACGTCGGCGACGTCGGCCACCGCCGACGGCCTCGCGCCTGAGGGGGACTCGCAAAATTTTTTTACAAATTACCTATTTATTTTCGTTTCTGCTGGCCTGGCCAACCCCGAATAATTCGGGGAAAAAGCTAAGCAGATGATAATGACTTTTATTATTTTCGAACACGTGCGTGATGGAAGCGAGTAGTACTTTACAGGTATTCAGAATCGTCTGTCTGGCAACACTATTTTTGTAATTAAATTTCTATGTTTGTAATTATTTTTTGTCATCATTTGATTATCAACAATAAAACTCGTTTACTCATACGTTATTTTATAATTTGGCTCATTTAATTTAACGGTTTTTACTGCGAAGTAAAATAGGCCTCACGAACTTGATGTTGCCGACGTCCACATGTGGTCTAGCGCCGCCACTGGTCATGCTGGAATTAAGTCCGCCATATGCAATGTAAAGGCATTAAAGTATAAATAAATAAAAATAAATTAAGTACCAAAACAGATTTTGCAGTAGACCGCTTCATAATTTTAATAAAAACAAAATGAAAACGTTGTTTTTCTTCCTGAAACATTGACATTTCCGTGACCTCGAGAAAGATAATTTATTTTATATTGATAATTAATTAAAGGTGAAAAGTATTGCCTATCTGTAAAAACTTCATAGAACAACAATAAATATCCATCAGTGAATCTATTTTCATTCTTATTTTAAATATTTTCATTTATTCTTGGTAGAATAAGGTATTTGAAAAGTTTTATAAAACGATCTCACGTTATTTACTAATGTTTATAGAGACCATAAAAAGCGGCTCACTGGTGTGTGACGTCACACGACTGTCATTAAAACGTCAAACCATACAATCAAATGTCACTTTAACCGGAAGTTTACTTGCGTGTGACGTCATTCACAAAAAATAGTTGGAAGGGTGATCATAGACCGTTTGTACGGGAACCGATGACGCCGGCTCACCACCACCACACCTCTACCTGATAGCCAATCAAAGGATGCGACATCAAACAATCCAACCAATCAGCGCTCACACCCGGGAGCAACGGCGCAACCAGAACCAAGTTTAGGTAAAGTTATGAGCATTTGCTCATACATTACTGTAGCGCGCCTACTCCGCCCACAAGGCCCTTCTAGTTTCTTTCTCTGTTGGACTTGTCCCGTCCCGTCCCGTCCCATTAGTGGGACATTACTAAGAGATTGAGATTAATAATTAAAGATGAATGACAGATTGAGTTCAGTACCCTTAGCACGAACCAATATCGAATTCGTAACGTTTACGTGTCCGAAATGTCACAGTCCAATGTGTACTGATTTTTAGTTCTCGTTACGCACTATGTGGCGCTGCTGTTCAAGTTTCCATACAGAAGTTGACATTGACATTTTGCACTCGCAAACTATTCGAATTCGATAATGGTTCGTGCTAGGGGTACTGATGAGGAGCTCGATGGCGAGGGTGGTTAGCATGTTCGGCTGCGAGTTGAAGTTTAGCAACTTTCGCAGTGGTCGGTCATTGGATGGGTTACCAAAACCAAAAATCTTTTATCTCGAGTTCCTCCGTGTTTCGGAAGACACGTTGAGCCGTTGGTCCCGACTGCATCTGTAGTCGTTAGCACCCGCCAATCCGCACTGGGCCCGTGTGGTGGGTCATGGCCCAATCTTCCTATTCCATCCATAGGGAAGGCCTGTTATACCGGCCATACACACTACGAGAAATCGTTACGATCAGACTGTACAGTCCGAACGGTACCGATAAATCGTAGCGTGTATGTTATAAAACTGCACAGTTTCCTATACTAAACGAAATCGTATAAACTGTACCGTTCGAACTGTACAGTCTGATCGTAACGATTTCTCGTAGTGTGCATGGCCGGTATTAGAGATGAATTATCATAATCTGAAAAAAAAACACCGTTCTTATATTTCGTGAATAGATAGGTCACACATTATTTTCTAATCTTTAATCTCAGTAGATAAACTTGGCGATGTCTGTTTCGCTGTTAAAATATAAATAATAATTGGTATGTGAATATGGTCATAGTTTATCCTTGGTACCAGTGGCGGACTAACAGGGGGGCGGAAGGGGAGGCCCGCCCCGGGTCTCCGATCTTGGGGGGCCCCCAAATGCCTCCGCGTTCCCCTGATCGCATCCTAGACTTTAAAAATGTGCTTAGTACCTACATAATTTCATCAAGATCAAAACACTACAGCCATCTAGACTTTTTGCGCGGTACTAATATACTTTTGACTTCGCTGAACGCGTCCAATACGCTGGGGGAATTCCCGTCTCTGTAGCGCTTATACGCCTACATTTAATAACATTCACTATATTTACGTCGAAAAATAAACATTGGCCTCATTTAAAATCCGTTCAAAGTAACCTCATTAAAAAGTGTAATAGTGCTTTTGATTTTTGTTGCGGTATAAAAGTAAATAACTTTAATAATCCATAATAATCAATCACCTACGTTTCTAGTCAATATGTACCATATTGTAGGTCTGTATGTTTATTTAGCTTAAATAATTTAACTGGAATATAAATTTCACTCGCCAGATTTTAACGAAACAAACTAAGAAATTACATTTTTTCTTTAAAACTGGGGGGCCTCATTTTGCCGCCCCGGGCCTCTGACGAGCTTAGTCCGCCACTGCTTGGTACCTCTCATGAAAACTCATTTAATAGTGCCAGTTGAAGGTAACTATTTAAACAATTTTTTAAAAAATCCAGTTAAATTCTTGTTTGCTTCTTAAGATTTTAGATTTCATATTACTAAAAATAATGCAGACGCGAATTATTTATGTAAAACCTGTACAATAATGTTTACCTACTTATTAAATAAAACTAGTTTTAACGGGAACTTTATTTATTTATTGACATTTCGCAGCCTTTTCAGGTCGGCATCGTCAGAATAATGATTTTTTATTTAATTTTGTCGAGCTGCTTCCAAAAGACTTTTATTGAGGGTTCGGTTATTTCATTGGAAGATTTTTAAAATTTTATTGTCTTTGTATGAATTTATTAGTTAATTTAGTCAATAAAGTACTTTTTTTTAATTTCTTTTTGTAATTTTCAGTTTATTTATTTGACCCGTACTACCGTAAACTACCACCAGTTCCAAAATTGGGAGACCTTTCTGAGAAGAACCGGCGAAACAAACTCTGAAAGGCTTTCTGCATTAACCCGTTAAAACTAGTTTATAGGGAACCGGCAGAGCCATCTATTAGAGGACGGTGGTACTAACCGTAACACAGTCCTCTCGCCCACAGACAACGCCCGTAGACTGCCCCTACGGCTAAATAGAGGCGTAATGCCGGCACGCTATTGCGATAATAATGATTAAAATAGGATAGTTTGGTATCCGTTTCCGGGACATGGCGTGGGACTTTTGGTTTTATCAAGCACTCCTGCGCGTGCAATTTATATTTAAGCAGATATTGTTCTTAAGTTATGAAACCTTTTATGTAATTTATGTGTTTGCATTCATTAAATTCAGTGTCATTGAACTGTTTGCCGTCTTATTTACTAAAAGTTTTATTTAATGAGTGATGTGCGTGAAAACCTAAGAAACAAATATACTTACTTACTTTGATGATTGAGAGTAAATAATCAAAGAATGTATATTTTATTCTAGTTGATTTCCTTTTAAAACATTCTTCAGATATAAACAAACAGGCTAGTATTATAGATAATTTATTTATTAATACTTAATACAGAAGCGTACAAAGGCGGATTTAATGTCGTAGGCATTCTCTACCAGTTAACCATAGGGTGTTGCTGATAATTAGTGGTAGGGTGCACAGCTGAGGTGGAAATTATAGAATGACAAATAAATATAGGACAGAAATCTATGTCAGTACTCTAATTTATTGTTATTCAATAACATCAAATTCATTTTGTCGACCTCCGTGGCGGAGTGGTTTGTACGCCGGGTTTCAGTGTCGCCGACCTGAGAGGTCCCGGTTTCGAATCCCGGTGGGGGCAGACGTTTGTGTGATGAATAACGAGCATTTGTACTCCAGTCATGGATGTTGAAAATAATTTCTATTTAAATAAACTAATATATATGTATAATGGATGTTACCCTAGTATCCCATAACACAAGCCTTACAGTGCTTAGTTTGGGGCTAGGCTTAATTGGTGTGAGTGTTGGAAATATTTATTTATTTTATTTTCAGGACAATGGCTTCTAAAGTCATTTTATTTTTTATCATTGCCGTGGTCACTGAGTGCGCGTCTTCACTAGAAGGTCAGTTATACATCTAATTTAAAAACTCCATCAAGTGTCGTGAAACACTCGCTTGGAACTAAGTTTAAACATACATAATAATCATAATCAAAATCATTTATTCAGTTTAGGCTGTTACAAGCACTCATAAATGTCTAGAAGCTACGCCATCGGTTAGTAAATCTACGGCGGGAGACCTTGTACTGAGAAGGAACGGCAAGAAACTCAGCAAGGGCTGTTTTTTCTCCCTGTTTTATTATTTGCAGAGTCCTCAAATTGAAAAATGACTTCAGAGATGATTCATGAAGTCATACGAAACAACTGACAGTTATTACGGAAAAATCTTACCCATTTTCCCTAGTCGCCAAGTTCGTACCGTTCGATAAAGGGATCTAGGACACGGGGTCCCACCGGTTTGTCCTACTGGTGGGATCACGGTATACTACTATGAACCTGTGGTCCTACTGGACTAGGGCGATTAATATGGTATCGATAAAAGAGCAGACGCGACGCGGCGCTGTGAGACTTTTGAGAAATAGATATTTGAAAACACTATCATCATCATCATCATCATCAGCCTATTAATGTCCCCACTGCTGTGGCACAGGCCTTCTCTATGGATGGAATAGGGAAATTGGGCCACGACCCACCACGGGTCCAGTGCGGATTGGTGGGTGCTAACGACTGCAGATGCAGTCGGGACCAACGGCTTAACGTGCCTTCCGAAGCACGGAGGACCTCGAGATAGTAAATTTTTTAGCACCCATCCAAAGACCGACCATTGCGAAAGTTGCTTAACTGCAACGATCGCAGCCGAACGCACTAACCACTTGCGCCATGGAACTCCTCCTCCTGAAAACACTATTGCTGTGGCGAATACCGTGCGATAGGGACAACTGTAGCACGCTGAAAATTGAGTATAAAAATTGCAAAATTCAAGGTTTGGCTTTCGACTATTCCTTCCTCGAAAATAAGATGTATGTCAAATAACTATTAGTGTCGCCGCACACGGGCTACCGACCACAACCACAAAACACCGCCACCGGCATATTTCTTGTAGTTTTCATACATTTTATATGGACTCGCCACACACGGTACGCCGGTGGCCGCCACACGCTACAAATCGTTGTTGCTCGCTTCTTGTGGCCCGCGCCGGCCACTTAATGTGTCGATACAAAACGCCGATACCCCTCTCTCCCTTACCTTAGTCGGCCGCTGTCGCACGCTTCAGCCACTTTAGTAGCCGCTTCTAGCTTCTCGTGGCGGCGTTTGTGGCTGTGGCGTGTGGCCCGTGTGCGGCGACACTTACCCATAGAATAATAAGTATCTAAAGTTAAGTGGCCTCTATGTTTTTCTTTTTTTGTAAATGTTTATTGAACCTCCACACTAAACGTCTTAAGTGGTTACAAAAATTATTTTCATTTTGGCATTTTGATGGCTTCTAGTTTCTTTGAAGCACAAGTTATAGAAAAAAGGAAGAAATAGGAGCTTATATTGCAAAAAACAAATTGTATGAAAATAATTTATTTAGCGATAATCAAGGAGGCATCAGTCGAGAGCATTTGTATGGAAAAAAACATTGCCCGCTTTGCCTCTTAACTAAGTATCGTTAAAATAAGTAGTAATAAAATTGATTATTATTTATATAATCAGATTAATATTTGAACTTCATGTTTTCTCAATAATGAATTGTTTTTACTATAGAGATTATATTTGATTAAAAAGGTTATTATAATTGTATTTTGTGTACCAATTCATTAAACATACCTAAGGTATAGGTTCAACTTATATAACCTATTGCTTATGGCATTGAATTAAATTATATTCACATAGAAATCGGGGGGCACGGCAGTGCCCCCGCCAAGTCGAGCGCGAAGCAAACACTGCCGTACCATCTTTACTGGAACCATTTCGCCGCATTTTCAGGCCCCTATTTGAGAACCTCTGGATAAGACCAGAACGCTGAAAATTTCGTCACCCAGTAAGCTATATTAACATACTTAAAATCCAAAGTTTCAAGTCTGTAGGTCATTTAGTTCCGAAGTTAAGCGAAAGCAATATTTCGCATTTATGACACTCACTCACTCATGATCATCAGAATCATGATCAGAAGTACTAGTTCACTTCCCATAAGCCCAGAGAGCTGAAATTTGGTACAGAGTTAGGGTTTAAAAGCCACATAATGGTAAAACCAGGATAATCGAAGATCTGGAGTACCTGGTGACCCTGATTAGAAAACACGATAGCCCAACCAAACTATTAGAAGAGATCGACATACCGCCTTTACAAAAAATATTCAACTTGGTGGGCTACTTCATTTGATGTCAAAAATCGAAGGTCTGAAGTATCTTATGAAGAACCCTCAGCTGGTCTCAGCTGTATTAGAGATATGGTAATATAAATTCGACTATTGGTACACAAAAAAATCGACTGTCATTGTAAAAATCCAGCGTAGTGGTACACATCTTTTAATTTAATCTAGCCTATAGCGTCCCACTGCTGAGCGAATGCGTCCCCTTCTACTTTTAATACGCATATAAATAAAATAAAAGGAAAACTCTGAAACCATTGCACCGATGCATTCATACATGCAACATTACGTGTAAACGCAACTTTATCAAGCCTACAATTGACTGGTTATTTAATCAACGTTTTCCAAGTGGCAATTTTCCATCGTCAATGGGTAGCGGTTCTGGCGACAGATTGGTGCAATGGTGTCATGTAGCACCTGGTTTTATACCCTTGTGTACCCTTCAACGGCCAAGTCACGCAACATTAACTATAATAATAAAGAAATCGCAGTAAGGAACCTTAGACTTGGCACGACTTTATCTAGATTTCATTACTTTTTAGAGATAAACAAGCAGCTCCATCGAGACTTGGCTAGTTTTTTACAGAATGTTTTTGGTGGGATATTTAAATTACAAAAGCTTAAAACTAATTAAAAAAACTTGTTGTGTTATTGTGACAATTTTTGAACACTAAATCATGGAATTTACATCTAACCGATACGTTAGTTTGTGTTGTAAGAGATGATCTACCCAATTTTAACAAAAATATCAGTATTGGGAATTTTCTTGAAATATTACGTTAAACCTAAAATGCATAACCGTCTTCAGATTTAATGTGGTTTTAAATTAAAATGGAGAAATTTATCAATAATTACTAATAAAAGAAATAAAATTCCTTTAAGATTATTTTATTTCATGAATTGACATAAATACAATTAAAATAAGACTATTGACATAATACAAGCATTTATCGATACAATTAGTATAATCGCCTTAGTCCATTAGGTCCACGGGTACACAACTACACACACAGTGGTATGCCGTAGTCCCACCAGTGGGACAAACCGATGGTACCAGAATCTACGTCTTTCCTATTTAGTGGTGTTGGTGTGTGCCATTTCTACGAGTTACTATGAAAATTTGCTTTTCACCCATGTTTCACCCGCTTCAAGTTATATTTGAAATAAAAATCATACGCATCAATGTTGAAATACTTTTAGCACAGTATGCTGAAAACTGTGGCCCCGGGCCATTAGGCGCAATGTGTGCGTGATTCTAATGTCTTCTTTTTCGTCTTCTGTACGGTGGGTGTTTTCCGAAACTCGACACCAGGTGCCTATTTTGCGTGAGAGGATGGCTTTAGTCATGCCATCCCAACTTACCCAAGAAGCTTAGCAGTCTCTTGGTGTCCTCGTAGCTCGAGCAGCGTCTGCGGGCTGCCCAGGTGTGTCATCCATTGTCTGGTCACGCCTCTGAACTGTAGCAGAACGTGAGTGCTCATCTCCTCTTCTTCCATGCAGGCTCTGCACAGGACTGTCCGAGACACCTATGTTAAAGAGATGTTTCTTAAAGCGACCATGTCCTGTTAAAATGCTCACAATTTGTTTCAAAGCATGTCTTGGTAGCTTGTAAAACTTATTTGGTAGCCGTGGGTTTACCTTAGGTATGGGCTCCCTGGCGTGCTTGCAGTCAGCCACTCCAGCCTAGTATTCGTCGATCTAATGTCAGATTGATTGAGCGTCAATCAATCTGACATTAGATCAGAGCAGTCAATGTGTGCGTGTGTAGCGACGAGATTATCTACCATATGTAGTAGATATTTTTTTCTGCTTCCGTGCAGTTAATACGGTGGTTAGGCGCGTATTTAATCGAAGATCTAATTATTTTGTTCGTCGAAGCCATAACATGACTCACGAATTTTGGCTTGACTGAGATTTCTGAATGACTGTCTTTCTAATATTTTGTACAAAACAACTAGGTATCTGTTGTTGTCGTACGGAACAAATTTTTGTTTGGCAGATGACACGCCCACGGACGTTGTAAACATCACAGCGGTAGATGAGCAGCCGGATATTTGCTCGAAATGTATATGCAAGAATGGCAAAGTGGATTGCTCCAGCCAAGGGCTGACCAAGTTCTTCCCACAGCACAAATGGGCAGGTGAGATATTGCTATATAATAACAAGACAGCACAAACAATAACTATCATTTAAGAGAATGAATAATGTGCATTTCTTAATATAATCAATATATTTTATTCATTCGCCAATACATGACCTGTGCCCCTGTGGCATTAGATCGACCTATGCATAGAATAAAGTTACATATGAAAATGTTACCAAATTGCTTTTATTGTACTTTTAGGCGAAACGGACGCATATGTTTTACTGGTAAAAACATTTATTCTAAAACTTATATAACTTTGAAGATAGCAATTGAATAAAGGTACATGCGATTTTCGTTTCCGAAGAATATAGAGCCAAGAGCACAAGAACCTTTTGGATAGGCAAGAACGCAGCCTGCACGGCTTCAATTTTGTTATAAACTGAGAATTTTTACTAAATGTTTGATTCTATTTTTTTTGTTTGATCGATTTTGCCCAATCTTTGCCATATTATCATAATGTGACGCGACAGAAAATATAAATTACGTAAAATAAAGTTATATCTACACATAATTTGACACGTTTCCCAAGCATAAGGTCTGATATGCATATGTAACAAAGATGTCCGTAGTAAATTGTCACATAATCACATAAGAAACTCTTAAGTAACGATATAGAAGCCGTAAATGTAGTTTTACGGAATCCATACGAAGGGCTCGCACTCTGGACTCGTTCCGTGAGCAAGTTAAGCGTCATTTCCTATCTTTACTTTGAAAATACCTCTTTCCTTTATTTATTTGTTTATTTTTTATTTTTTTCATATAAATATGCATCTATATTATTATTACCGTTTTTATTTTATTTTATAATATTGCTCTTACACCCTTCCCCCTTTTTTTGTTCTTTATACTTATTTAATTTTCCGTCATGGGTTGCCTGGAAGAGATTGCTATTAAGCAATAAGGCCGCCCATTGTGTAATATCTCTCTGTCAGTGTAATCTTACTGTTATGTCCATTGTGGTGTTATACAATAAAGAATATTATTATTATTATTATTATTTTTTTTAAACAATAAATGCGTCATGTCATAATTTGCTTCTTAATGTTTTATATGATTAGTAAAAAAATTCAAATGATAGAAAAATACCAATACAAGTTACAGCATATTTTACATTTTACAAACTTAAAATCGCTCTACTGTAAAGTTGTTATTATGCAGAAGTAGCTTTATTCTATGGATAGGTCGAGATAAAATTATAGTAACTGTAGAAATACAGCGTTGTAGAAAAGAATTTATTTCTCTACATTCTTCTATAAGGTGTTGAGTTACATTACCAGGCTAATGTACAAGTTTGAAATTGTTATAATTTTTATTTTTTAAGCATGTAACTGCTCGATGTTTACATCTTTAGAAAATATTACTAGAAAAAAATCCAGGTGGACCAGGCAGCAGACGGGACTTGACCCCGCACCCTTTGCTATCTGGGCGAATGCATTGACCAATTATGCTTCCGCGGCCCTGACAGCCCTGTCTAATTCTTTATAGCCTTTCTTAATCTGCAAGGTAGCGCCATCTTCTTCGCATTGTAGATAACCCATAATGTCAAATGAATACAATTTTTTAATTGATTTCTTTATTTTTCTTTTAGCTTTGAAAGACTTCAAGCCTACAATAGTGGACCTGAGCAACAACTCTTTTGAGAATATCACTGTTATGGCGGAGCTTCCCATAAAGGTCCTTAACCTGTCCAGATGCGGCATAGAGGTTATACAGTATGCCGCCTTTCGACCTCTGCGGAAAATGAGGGTTTTAGACTTGAGCCACAATAATGTGCGTACATTGTTAATCATCATTCTATTAATATTGCCCACTGCTGTGGCATAGGCTTTCCTTGTGGACAAAATAAGGAGATAAGGCTACTCACTACGCAGGAGCAGTATAGATTGGTGGGTGCCTAACGACTGCAGATGGACCTCTTATAAATAAATCTATGAAACTTCTATTGAATTTGACATTTGTTGCACCCGGGGCAACAAATGTCAAAACCTGCACCTGGAACAAAGACGTCAATTTAATTTAAGATACCATACATATAAGGAAGGGCTGTGCTACAGGCTAAGCCAGAAGGTTTGTTATGGAAAATCCTTATTTCGCGAAGAAAAAAAGATTAGTCGACATCACAGGAGACCGAAGAGCTGGCAGCTACCTCGGACAAAGAATTAGTCTAGCTATCCAAAGAGGGATCGCTGCCAGTATCTTCGGAACCTTGCCTAAAGGGACTCCTTTTAATAATGTATTTTAGTTATTATATTTTATTTTTTAAGGTTTTTAGTTTTAGGTTCATTGTTATAGTATATTTTTTTTTAATTATTCTTAAATTTGTTCATATTGCACCATATTGTTGTAGAATATACTTTCTTATTGTCTTAGTAGGTACATTGTCAATAAAGTTACAGGATTGTCAGTATAACAGTACTATCATGTATGTGGTAGAATACAATATTTATTTATTGCGCTATCGTACACAAACATGACAATTTATATTACATTAAAAAAGTTTATCTCTCAGAAAAATCAACTTACATGAATCACGTTTAAGCGCACCTAGCGACATCTATTGTAAAAAAATGCATGTTCTTCGCAATAAAGCTGCTTTCGCGAATATACTATCTTATAATACCTAACTATTTGCGTGCAAAGTTTCGTCGCACTCAGCTCAGTAATGAACTGTGTGTTAATAGATCAGTCACCCTTTATTAACGGTTGGTTTTTATACTTAACATGTTTATATTTAACAGATTTATTCCTCTGTTTTAGTTAAGATACACGCCAGAACTAATCAATATTGACGTCCTGAATCTCGCCTACAACGATCTGCGTTCTTTTTCAAATGTCTATGATATAAAGACAGAGCAGCTGACAGAGTTGGATTTGAGCGGCAATGATATGGCGACAACTGAGTTTGCAATTCCTTACTTAGGATGGGGGAGAACGTTGAAGGTATTTTTTGGTTGGTGGTGTGTTTTTCCAACGGTATAGTGCCATACCTCATGTAGTTAGAGTAATCTCCTTACTTATTTTGCGTTGCCAAACCTATTGATTGATTATGTTTTTATTTATTTAGCATTTAACTGCTAGATGTTTTAAATCCAAGAAAAGTTTACTAGAAAAAAACCAGGCAGCGGACGGGACTCGAACCCGCACCCTTCGCAATCCGGGCGAATGCACTGACCATTATGCTACCACGACCCTATTGGTCGCGTCGAAATTTTCCTAGCCTTAAGCTGCAAGGCAACGCCATCTCTTCGCATTGTAGGTAGCCCACATTTTTTTTTCTAGTAAACTTTTCTATTGATTGATGTTGTCAAAAACAACTCTGTTATTAAAAATTGCTTATCTTTGTGTGCCATATATATATATATATATATATATATATATATATATATATATATATCTCGTTTTCTTAAAATTGTCTTTATTTTACCTACTGCCCACTTAGCTCCTGCTAAAAACATACTCGGTTAAGTGGGCTTATTTCATTGAGATATATTATTGATATTGTGGCGGGTTTTGTTCGGAAGCCTGAATGACTGGCAGTTGGTGGTGGTGAAGGTGATACAGCGGCTGTTAATGCATTTTATGAAAAACAACACAAAGGATACTTTACTCAGGAAAGTATTGCCTTGTTATTATTATATTAGTTGATAACAACCTTTATAACAGATGAGACACTGGATAAAGTTATGAGATTTACAAATCCGAAAGATATTTGGGATGAGCTGCTTGAAAGATTGTGCAATGCTTCGACAACCTACTAGATTCAAAGATTTCGTCATGAATACCGAAGTTTTTAAGATAAAAGTGAACGCTGATGGATCCATACATAAATAAAAGGCTAGATTGGTTGCTAAAGGGTTTCGTCAAAAGGAAGGAGAAAATTATAACCAAAATAGTCTTTGGTCTGTGCATTCGTCCGGATAGCGAAGGGGTCCCGTCTGCTGCGGGGTCCACCTGGAATTTTATCTAGTAATATTTTATTTACATTTAAATATCGAACAGTTACAAAACGCTTAAAAAATTAGAATATAAACAAAATAGTTGTATTAAATAAGTATTAAAATTAAAACTTGTTGCAAACATGGCGACGACAGTCCGTTCATTTCTTAGTATTTCAGCATTACATAAGAAGGGATGAACGAGTGACAATTCGACGTTTCCACAAATTTTCTGTATGTTTCCTTGTCACATGGGACAACATACACATATTATATGAAACAGCCTAAAGGATATGACGATGGTTCGGGAAGAGTTTTTTTTTATTGAAAACGAGGCTTTATGGGTTAAAACAAGTTTCCAGATACCACACCACACCATACCACAATACTGACTCTCTCCAAAGATGTTGGGTTCCAAGTCAGTGAAGCAGATACTGAATGTCGTATTGTATGTAGATGACGGGCTCGTGGCTGCTACTAGTCAAGCGCTGGTTGAAAGTTTGCTGGAGCAGCTGAATAGGAAAGAACACCCGGCATTTTGTGCCAAAGTTGTATACTTTTTTATTTTTTTTATCTGTGTTTCATAATTGGGTAACGTAGTCTGGCAATATTTGTCATCAGCAGCTAGCTGTCAATGTCAAATACGTAGGTTTTCAATATAACCTCTATATGTAGCCGGGTCGTCAAGAGAAATAACGGATAAAAAGGCAATCACAGCATAGAACATTCAGAATCACAGTTCGCGGGAGCGGATGCGAAATGCGAATGATTTTTTTGTTTGTATTTTAGGATTGTCAAATTGACATTTGGTTTTTTATTTAGAAAAAGCAAAGGAATAATGGTTTTTACAGTCACTTGAGTAATATTTTGAAGTAAAATTCTGTCCCTTGAAGATTTAGGGTTTCCATATCAACAAAATATTAATCATTATATAACTTCTTTCCACGATTCACTAAAAATAAAGCAAAAGTAGTTTTATGTAGCAAATTAATTTTGGCTTTATTTTGAGACCAAATTCAATTGTATACAAGTTTAGCATTTTTTCTATGAAAAGTGCCGGGTCTCCTTTAAAATAACTACAAAACCAGACAGTAATTTTCTCGGAATTGAGATAGTGAATAGAGAAGATGTTTTATTGATTCATTAGACGTCGTACACCATGAAAATTTAACATAGATTTGGAATGAAAGAATTTAGGCCAGTGACAACTCCAATGATAGAAGAAGATACTGCACCAAGAGTGCTCTGGCTTACTTAATTGTCGGAAGAAGACCTGATATGGCTTATGCATTGAGTGTAGGTTCTAGAAATTTGAAGAAACTAACACTGGTGCAGGTGATGTAGTCAAACTAAAGAGAATTTTGTGATAAATAAAACAAGTTTCAACGGGTTAGATGCACTGATTTTATTTATTTATTGACGTTTCGCATTCTTTTCATCCAAAATTCCATCCCAAAATCAGTCCATCTAATCCGTTGAAACTTGTTTTATTTAATCAGTGATGTGCGTGAAAACCTAAGAAACAAATAGAATTCTAGGATACTTACAATATACCTTGAGTCTAGTATTCTATATTAAAAGGACTACAAGACAGGCATTATTTTGACGACCTCCGTGGCCCAGTGGTTTGTACGCCGCGCCGGGTTTCATGGGGTTCGAGACTCGAGAGGTCCCGAGTTCGAATCCCGGTGGGTGCAGATGTTTGTGTGATGAATACAAGCATTTGTACTGCCGTCATGGATGTTTGATATATATTTCTATATTAATATATACTTATATATGTACAGTATACTTATGTATTCTATCCGTCACCCTAACATCCCATAACACAAGCCTTACAGTGCTTACTTTGGGGCTAGGCTAATTGGTGTGAGTGTTAGAAATATTTATATATTATCGAATGTTACAGTGATGCAGTCACTGTAACATGAAGTTGCGAGGGAATGTATCTGGCTGGCCAGACTAATAAGCGGCTTAGTAGAGCTGAACTTTAAATCAGCAAATCGGTGTGTATCCTTCCAGATTCTGCGTTTACGGTCGTGCAAACTGACAGAGATACGTAGTATTTTCCTGGAACATTTCACGAACCTAGAATATCTGGACATAAGCGACAACCTCCTGACCAGAGTGCCCAAAGAGTTGAACCTTGTGGAGAAACTTCTCTATTTGAACATCAACCAGAATCCCATCAGAGAGCTGAACATCAACACTCAGTACGCCTCGTACTGGTGAGTCCTCTACATGAATAAGTTATTTACATTACCCATTAGCTTAGTATCCCATACCATAAGCCTTACTACACAATACTTACTTTGGGGCTATGCTTATTCGTGTGTTTATTAGATTTTTCTATTTATTTATTATTATATTTGTTGCTTAGGTTTTCACGCACATCACTCATTAAATAAAACTAGTTTTAACGGGTTAATGCACGAACTTTATTTATGTATTGACGTTTCGCAGCCTTTTCAGGTCTGCATCGTCAGAATAATTATTCTTAGTTTTATTTATTACTAGCTGTGCCCCGCGGTGTTACCCGCGGTTTGTTAGGGATATTTTCCCACAGTAAAACGCAGCCTATGTGTTAATCCAGGGTGTCAGCTAACTCCATTCCAAATTTTATTAAAATCGCTCCAGCCGTTTAGACGTGAAGAAGTAACAAACATACACACTCACAAACTTTCGCCTTAATAATATTAGTGTGATTATATCATTCTGATCTGATTTTTTGGCGCTCAAAGTAAAACCCCTTAAAGCTAAGCCGACTATTGTGCGTATGAGAAATTTCGCTAAGCTGAACGTTGAGAAGCTAATTGAACCGAATGCCATTGATTGGTCGCCTGTCCTCTGTAAATGATAGGATCACCACCTTTAATGCAGCAATAATAAATTTTTTCGATCATCATGATCCCATCAAATCCGTCAAGCTGCGACAAGCACCTGCTCCTTGGACCGCTCCTTTGGTGCGCATTGCCATGAGTAGACGAAATAAGGCCTTTCTTAATTTTAAACGATGCCACTCTAATGTCAAATGGGAGGCTTTCAAGAGTGCAAGAAAACGGTGTAACCAGATGATAATAGGTGTGAAACTTCGTTATATTCTTCAGAATGTAACTAATTCCTTTCCAGCCGAAATATGGAAGTTCCTTAATTCAATTGGTATTGGCAAAACACAAACTCGATTTTCATCGCCTTTTTCTTAAAACGATTTGACCGTAATTTTTCTTACGTTAACAAACTTTGACACTGTTAAATTTCTTACAATTTCCAAACTTTCTTTTACGGCCACTCCTTCTAATTTCATTTTCTTCTTTAACACACTGACTGAAGATGATGTTTGAAAGTGCTAACTTTCCATTAAGTCTAAGTCTGTAGGATTCGATAACATCAATAGAAACATGTTCATATTGCTATTGGACTCTCTACTTCCTACATTAACTTTCATCATGAACAAATCTCTGTCCTCTGGTTCATTTCCTAATGTTTGCCGTAAGGAATTTTCTATCCCTCTCCCTAAAATTTCTAACCCTAGCTCTCTCGATCACTTTAGATCTACCACCATTTTATCTTTTCAAAATTCTCGAAGCTGCTGTTTATAATCAGCTTTCTTCTTACGTCTATTGCAACTGCCGTCTATCTAACTTCCAGTCTGGATTCCGCCCTCTGGACATAGTACCACTACGGTGCCTATGAAAATTGTTGAGGACATACGCGATGGCATGGAGGAGTCGCGGTTGACTGTTTTAGTACTACTCGAATTTTCAAACGTATTTTAAGCAGTTGACCACGATATCCTTTTTGCGCTTCTTTCTCAACTTGGGTGTTCCTACAATGCGCTAAATTGGTTCAGTTCCTATCTCCTGGGCGGCAACAAGCCGTGAGAATTGATCAATCGATCTCTGACTGGTCTGACTTATCTGCTGGGGTATCCTAGGGAGTCGTGATCTCTCCTCTCTTCTTCTCCTTATTTATTAACTCCCTTAATTCCATTCTTTCTACCTTTTATCATCTTTATGCAGACGACCTTCAGCTTTATATGCAGGACACCCTACTATACCTGAAGAGGGCATTATGTCTACTGAATCAAAACTTCTCTCGAATACGTGAGTGGTATCATAACTTTGGGATTACCATCAACCCCGTTAAATGTCAGGCGATCATTATTGGCAGTTCTCGACAAGCTTCATACAAACACAGTTCCAGCCGTTAAGTTCAATGGTGTAGTGATCCCCTATTCTACGAAAGTAAAAAAACCTTGGCCTCATACTTGATCACACTCTTAGTTTTGATGGCCAAATGGAAAATATGTGTCGCAAAGTAAATTGAACTCTTTGTTCGCTTTATCGCCTTAAGAAATTTCTTCCTCCGTGTACTAAAATCTCTCTTGTACAATCCCTTGTTCACACTCTCTTTGATTATGCTGATGTTTGTTTTACTGATATAAATCAACTATTTCTTACTAAATTGGATGTCTACTCAATAACACTATTCGTTTCATCTTTGGTTTAAATATGACCACATTTTTGAGTTCCGCAACACACTTAAACTGTCAAAAATGTCCAGGCTATTTGACTATTTTGTTTGTATTGTATTTGTTATAAGACCTACAACATTCGATTTAGAGAGCTGTTTAAAACCTAAGTTCGTTCAAAGCACTTGAGTGAAAACGAAAGAGTAAGCGGAGGGTCGCCTGAGCTTAAAAGGTGCACTAAAACTTATCTTTGAAATCAAAGATGGACAGTCAACTTTATTATTTACAACATTATATAAAAACATGATATATGTCGATATAATGTATATTTATATATGTATGTATGTGTAGGTATAAGTAATTAATGCTATTTAATTTCGTTTGTATCATTGTTTGATGTTTACTCTGTTCGTGGTCTGTGGTTTTATTTTCTCTGCACCTTCTTTCTGGTTGACTGGTAGAGAATGCTATACTGGCATTAAGTCCGCCATTTATATTGTAAAGGCAATAAAGATTAAATAAATAAAAAAATCTGATGATGGTGCATTAAGTTACGGTTAATTATTTGTGTCTTAACTTTGTTTTTAACCAGGTCCCCCTGGGGGAGACCCCCCAGACTTTTGAGGCTGAAGGAACTGCATATATGCAACATGCCAGTCTTGACGGAGATTGGTCCGGGAGCGCTGGGATATGTAGAGAACCTGGAGAAACTGCATTTGAGTTTCAACCCTCAGTTGAGGCACATAAGTCCTACAGCTCTAACGCGCCCTGCAAAAAAATGGGAGGGCTATGAGTGGCCTATGGTGAAAGAGGTGATTTTAAAGATTCATTTTGCACTAGCGATCTGCTTTGGCTTTGCACTGGTCAAATTTATATATATACAAGCGGACCCGACAGACGTTGTCCTGTCTACACGTCTTTGTGAATCTAAACCATTCTCAGATCCCCTTGAACACACACAAAAAAATTCATCAAAATCGGTCCAGTCGTTTAAGAGAAGTTCAGTGACATACACACTCACAGAAGAATTATATATATAAAGATATACGCATATAGATGGAGCTAAAGAAGTTTCACTTCAGTCGTGTGGTCATAAGCACACTCGTTTTTTTATGACAATTATTCAATTTACATTTCACTAGAAGTAAGTTATCTGTCTTTATTCTATATATCTTCATACATACATATTTAATGACGAAATCTACTAAAGCAAAAATTATTTGAAATGGAGCCACGGTAGAATAATTGGTCAGTGCATTCGCCCGGATAGCGAAGGGTGCGGGTTTGAGTCCTTTTTGCTGCCTAGTCCGCGTGGAATTTTTTCTAGTCCTATTTACTCTATAGTTTTTATTCATAAAAATAATGCAGGATTCTAAATGTGGAAGAATTTTTCAAATTGGTTCAGTAGAGTCGGAGTCTTTTTAATACAAACAAACAAACAATCAAATCTTTCCACTTTATAATATTATAGTATAGACTAATAAACTACAAAACATTCCCCTCCCCCACTACCACCGCACCATGAACCCAGGACCTCAGGGTAGGTGACACACCTTCAAAATTGGAGTACAGACCACTCACACCACGAAGGTCGTCATGATGATTCATTAAAAAGTTTTTTGTTTCAATTCCAGCTGTACATGAAGTCCAACGCTCTCTCCGAGGTGAATCCCCAACTGCTGTCCCGCTGGGACCTGCTTACCGCCATAGATGTGTCCGGCAACCCGTTCAGATGCGACTGTGATACCCAGTGGATGGTGGACGTTTTGGTGCCTCTCATCGATAAACTCAAATCGAACGCGTCTGAGGCTATGGTGTAAGTTAACTATATGAGTAACAAATGGAGAAGTTAGAACCTCGTGTCAAACGTAGCAAGACACAAGTCAGTGCATTCACTGCTTAGGACTTATGTGCTGTTACATCTGCATTTCAATGTATTTCACTGCTTCATTCCGCTGGGGTTAAAATACTAGGTGGATCTTTTATGCGACGTCCAGAATAGAAACCATTTGGATGACTCTAATAAGCTTGGAGTTCTTAATCGTTTAAAGCACTGCCTACTTTACGTCTAAGCAAAGGCTGCTGCTTAATGCTAAGTATATATGTATCTTGTTTTTATTAACAGTTTTAAAAATATAAAAGATAGAAGCCAACCCGCATGGGGAACAGGGTCCTAGCTACCGGTGGTTAGATTCTAGAGAAAGGAACCTCCTGACAATGCGATCCGTGTCAAGGAGTACTGCTTCTGTATCAGGGCCTTGACCCAGCCACTCAACTCGAGCCTCCGCAGATGACAGTCGAGGCTCTTGGCTATCAGGCCATTGACCGTCACAACTATCGGCACAATAATAGCCGAGTCAACATCCCACATGGCGACAACCTCATGAGCCAAGTCAAGATATTTTATTTGTTTATCTTTTTCGGCTTTCATGTGGTTCTCGTCATGAGGGATGGTTATTAACATCCATTATCGTAGCCTTGACATACTGTTAAATAACATTCGCGGTGGCTGGTCATTGGAATAGTGACCGCGAAAATATATTATTTTTCCACTCCTCCGTACTTCGAAAGGCACGTCAACCCGACGATCCCGGCTGCATCTGATATTCATTCTGACATTCAGATAGATAGAAAGATAAGACTTTATTCACACCAACATCCACACATACAAAATTAACAAGACAAATTAGATAAATCCTGAAAAACAGGCAACAAATTATATTTATACAACTATACTATGATATTTTCATGTGCAACATCGATGCAAAGGTGCGAAAACTCAGCAAAACATTTACTCAGAGAGTTAATCGCTGATTTTCATTTCTGAGACATATAGATGAGGTCTCGAATTTAAATGTCAGATTCAAATTCACAATTGCATTAAACAAAATTTAAATTAAATACGATAATTAATTGCACATTCATTGGATATATTATTATTATGGTACGTTTACATAAAAAAATATATTACTAGATAAATTAATAAGTGAGAAAATAAATTTCTGTGAAAATAAAATAAAAGCACACAACACCAACACCAACACCTCCGTACCGAAGCAACAAACTGGATATTCCAATTTTCTGAAGTTCTAATAAAGATGATGTAGTGATGGTGAAAAATAGAATTATTTAATTTATTATAAAAATATTTAGGATTCTTATATTTTTATCAGGTATCATCAGCAAACAATACGATATCACACATTTTTTCCACAAAAAATGGCAAATTATTTATGTACAATAAAAATAGAAACGGACCTAAAATCGATCCCTGGTGAACGTCCATTTTTACATAAGATCCAGATGATCATGATGATGATTAACACCTCTACAGTTTAAATTCTGGAACTGAGATACGATAGTAGCAAGTTTAAGGTAGCGGAAACTGCCAGTGAAACCGCCAGTTCTGAGGTGCTGTTGGTTGCTTATGGGAGCCCTTACACCTGAACCGTAGTGATGGTGAAAAATAGAATTATTTAATTATTTATATAAATATTCAGGATTCTTATATTTTACTAGATTGAACATGAGCATGGCAAGATGCAAATGCCTACGCGATTCTATATTTAGCATGAAAGCATTATTAAGGTATGGTGATACATGCGTACGTGGCGGAATATGGAAGAAAAAGCGGGCACAAGCATTTTGCACACGTTGAATAATTTTCTTTGTTCTGTACAACAAGCGCGGACCATAGACCAAGTCACCATAGTTGAGCCTTGATAGGATCAGCGATTCATAGAGCGTAATTCGGGACTTTTCAGATAAAAAACTACGAACTTTATACAAAACTTTTAAACGATAAAAGCAGTTTTTTACTAGATTAAGCACATGACTTTCAAAACGGTATCGACTGGCAAATGTTATTCACAGGTTCTTAGTCGCATGAACACGTTCAATGTTTGTGCCCAGAACTTGAACAACGGGTGTATTAACAAACACTTCGATTTAGATGTATTCAGTACGAGTGCATTGTCTTTAGGCCAGGAAGCTATAGAATTCAAATTATCATTTCATTTGCTGACCGCCTGAGATATTTTAGCAGGTTTTTCGGAAATATATAGCTGAACATCATTACATAGAAGTGAAATTTACAGTGTTTGATTACTTTTGACAGATCTGCACTGTATATAACGAAAAGAAGCGGCCCAAGTGTTCAACCCTGAGGGACACCACGTGACATAGGTTTCGGTTCAGAAGTTAGAAAAAATCCATTCTCCCTAAAAAGCCGTACCTACCGTACTTGATTCCGATCACTAAAGTAGCTACTTAACCATTTAACTGAGTGAGGATCAAAACCGTGAAAAGTCAATTTCGAAAGTAGTAATGGAACGTTTAAGCAATCAAATGCACGAGAAAAATCTAGCAGTGCCAGCAAATTACTTCGTCCGGCGTCCTGTTCAGCTGTAAGATGTAACGATACCACGACGCTTACGAAAACCCGATTGAAAAATTGGTAAAATTTCATTATATTCAACGTTTTTTATTAATTGACTATATACTGCCTCTTCCAAGATTTTTGATAAAAAAGGTAAAATACTAATAGGTCTTAGGTCCTTAAGCTCAACCGGAGGTTCAACTTCGGGGATTGGCGTTATTAGTGCTGACTTCTACTGATGAGGTTCCTCACCTGTGAATAGAGATCTGTTTAATATATCCGTAATCACAGATAGTGTCCTTGGAAGGGTGAGCAAAATCATGTCCCTGCTTATACCGTCACTGCCAACGGCATTAGATTTTATATATAAAAAGTAATTGGAAACGTCAGTTTCAGTGACAGCATGTAGCTTAAAAGGAGATTTTGTAGTATCCAATCTGTGGCTTTGAAATAAGAGAGCAGCGAAATACCAATTGTGTCTGTTCCAGGCGTTTCTTAAAAGTGATCATTGATTACATTTGGATCACTAAAGCAATCCGAAAGGTCACCCTTAGTATCGGGCAGTAGTGTGTCCCTTTTTTTTTTTGTTGGGAAAATGCTTGATGCATACCCTGCTCCTGGTGGGTGAGAGGCGGGGTTATCTGAGACTCCTCCCCCCCCCCCCCCAAATCCCGCCCACCCGCTCAGCCAAACTGGCTCAGCGGTTGCTCGGGACGAGGGGGGGGGGGGGGGGGCTACCCACTAAAAACCCAACAGTGTTTCCTCGCCTGCCGGAACGGGTTTCGTGGGATCCTGGTGACTCTCTACGTTACCCCCCGCAGGGGTTCCTCCTCCTCCTGGCGGTCAGGGGCATGCCCGAAAGCACCGAGGTATCCCCCCTCGACGGGTGAGACTGCGGACGACGGACTACCCTGTCCGCCGTCCGCTAGCCTTACTAGGGTGGAATGAGGCGGTCGTACCGCCGCCTCCTACCACCCCGCCGCCGGCGTCGGAGAGGGCCGGCCCGGGCGTCCTCCTCGAGTACTGTGTCCTTGAAGTTTCCCCAAAAAATTTTGCTATTCCTATCATTTGAATTAATATAGTGGTCATCGGTCAGCGCGCTTCTCATTATTAATACTTGTTGAAGCCATAGTTTTGAGATACCTTCACTTATAAAACTTCACTTCAAAAACGTAATACACAAACAATACTATTATTGTTTGTGTATTTCGTTTTTGGACTAACGATATGTTTTATGAGCTTCATTACGCAAATTAATCATGGGCTTTATCGTTTCCGTTAACCAAGGTAGGGATTGGTTAGTTTTAAATTTAGCTGTTTTTAGAGGAGCGTGTTTGTTAAAATGTGACAAAAGAAGCAGGTTAAAACGTTCAACCATACGCTTCACTTCAGGCAAAGCAGAAACAGATTCCCAGTCCATACCATATCGATCTTATTAAGTGGTCTAGAGGTGATAACACGAGGTGGAACTTTACTTTTCTTCAATGGGATACTGAAATTTATCATTGGATGACCTAGGTTTCCGGTAATATTTGTGACCGTTAGGTTACGAGCACCGCCGTTGGTGCAGACAAGATCAATCAACGTATTAGAATCAGCGTATGAATGTGTAAGCTGTATTCACTAATCCGCACTGGGCAAACGCGGTAGGTCATGACCCACTCTCCGTATTCCGTCCATAGGGAAGGTCTGTGCCCCAACAGTAGGAACTAGGAACGGCTGATGATGATGATAATTGTTTCAGATGTTCAGAGCCCGAGCAGATGAGAGGTTTCACCATGAGGTACGTGCGTGAGGTCAATCGTACTATGCGCTGCGTGTACGCGTCTAATAAGAACGGTGCTTTTGTGATAAAGTCTCTTAATGGTGAGTGTAGAATGTACAAATACACAAAATACACACACAAAATAAAAACGATTGGTGGTTTTTTACCACACTAGAGCTAATTAATTTAAAATAATCTACCGATGAAAACGCGACTAGTTACGGGAACTAAGTAAGGAGGATAAATAACTCTCCAGGTAAGGACCTTAAGATGACGATGGCCACCCTGCGCTGGTGGGTTCACGAGTGCTCAGTACAGCAGTCAGGAGTTGCTATGAAGTCTCACGGAAGATCTCGAGAGCCGATAGATTCGTAACGCGGTAGTAATATTGTTGAGAGGCCATATTCTGTATGTCAGATTCGTTCCGTCATCGTCAGATTCTGTATGCAAGGAGCCAGTTCGTTCTGACGTCCGGTAGGGGCGCTGCTTCGTTTTCATAGAAACTTTGACGAAGCGGTACGATTAGGGAGCTGTCAAAATTCGTGCTTGGGCCTCAGATGGCGAACGATATTATTGGGGCATTCTTAATTTTTATTATTGTTATTATATGTCGCACCTATAGAATAAAAGAGAAGTACCTAAGTCAAAAAATTGGGATTGACACTTTTTTCCACAAGTTTGTAGATTTTATTCATCAAGATCAGTTTGTCGTGAATGTTATTTACGTAATCGCCATGTTGTTATCAAGAAAATGATAACAATACAGCACAGCCGTTCGCACTCGGAAGCTGATTCGCCGTTTCGCTCGCTCTGCTTTGAAGCGTACAGTTCTGTCTCGCTCGCTCGATTGAATGTTATTTACAGTCGTGTGCGTGTGTGAGAGTTGCTTATGTAGTTGAGCCGAATCATATTTTCTTTGATGCTAGTATGAGCGTACCATATCTTCCCTCTTTACCCGACTGCGCAATGCAAGAGCGCAAAGCGCGACGCGCAGACAGGGTATAGTGTTTAACAGTCTATATATGTTTGTTCCTTTGTGGCACACTAGAGACCAAACGCCTGGACCGATTTTGATGATTCATCAATCAATCGATTCGTCTCAATCATGGGAGTGCTACTAAAGATATAATAGTAATCAAAATTCAATATAGGCAAAATTAGGCGCCATATTGTGACGAAGTAAAAAAAATAAGTTGACAAAATATGCCGAGTGGGATATCACTGTCTAGATAATAGAAAATCATGTTTAGGTTCCTAACATCATTTTTCATTTTATATGATGTTTTAGGATCTACAACGCTTTAAAGTTGTATATTAACCACTTGCGCTTTTAATTTCAATCTTACGTTTGTATGGATCTTTGTTACTCTTTCACCTAAAAAATACTGAATGAATTTTAATGAAACTTAACAGTAATATAGCTCATATATGATAATATCATATATATAATAATTTATGTAGTTATTTAGTGAATTGGCCAAAATATAACAATAAATGTCACATAAGACGGAAAAAAATGCAATGCAATGCGCTGCAAAAACAATAAAAGTTACATGAATGTAATGTAGAGTGAAAATGTATCTCTTAAATAGTTCTAAAAAAAAGTCCATGACACCATATATCTATTTTTAATGTGTAAGCCATTACCGCTAAAGTAGTGAATCAAAACTATCTATTTCATATCTATTTCCAAAATGCACATTTTGTATTAACAAATTATTTTTTATCAAAACAAATACTTTTATCGCTTTTGATATTTAAAGACGATAAACTTTGCCTTTTACACTGTGTCATTTCGACAAATATTTAAAAAGTTACAACGATGACAAAGTGATAGCGCGGTGTACTATGTAGGAGTAGACTGCGGGAATAATAAGAGAAGAAATTTAATTTAGGTGTTTATAAACGTGGATAAAACCTAGGCGAAAAAGAAAAAAATAGGCTAGTCGCAGTATCTGATCCTATACGAAGTACTTACAATAAAACTGTGATACAGTTCCTTCTTATTAAATGATGAAAAATAAATTATCATAATAGGTATTTATGATTATTGATTTTTAATGAAAAATTCAGAATTATACCGTTTTTAAAATTTTTAACGATATTACTTTGTTACAAAAAGTTTACTTAATATAATGACAAATAACCCATTTTCGCTAGTAGGTACATACTTATTGGAATCCCTGTATTTATTAATCAGCTCCCGATAATATTGGTTTTGTAATTATAAACGATAATTCTGCAAAATTCAAAGCAAATAATATAGAATTTATAGGTAAATCACCCCTTTCATCACCCTACGCCTATAAGTATTGCGATGTTGTAGCTGAGAAACAAGTTCCCATCTACTTCTATAGGGGAATTTATTATAATCGATTTAACTATTAGGGCACGGAAGCGCAACAAACAAACTCAATTTCGCATCTATAATATTAAATTATACTTACTAGTGTTCCACCCGGGCATTGTACGGGCGGAATTTATTTTTTGGGGATAAAATATAGCCTATGTCACTCGGACAAAATCTATTTAAGTAAAGAAAAATGTAATTATAAATAATGTAGCTACCTTATGATGAATTAATATTACTGCTTAATTATACTTCAAATAAAAACTGAAAAGAAAAAAACAAGTCCAGTAGTCTATAATTCTGTTAATAAGGAACAAAGCTACTTTAACAGTCGGGACCCATTATTGAAAAATATTATGTATTCATGAATATCTAATGGGTCCTAGCTGTTAAAGTAGCTTTGTTCCTTATTAACAGAATTATAGACTACTGGACTTGTTTTTTCTTTTCAGTTTTTATTTGAAGTATAATTATGCAGTCGGGTTTTTTGATTTTTCAAATTTACCTTTTTATGTTTTAAGCTTAGGAGTAAGGTCAATTCATTCTAAGGATGCAATGTGTCATTAGTTGCGGGCAATCGTGAAAAATAAAATCTATATCCACCACCAGCGTTCTTACTATTGGGGTCGAATACCCCAGTTGTAGAATATCATTGGCCACTCGAGGCCCGAGCACGAATTTTGTAATCGTACCGCTTCTTATCACTTATCAAATATTTCTTAGTTAATAAACGCGTAATAATAAAAAAGGAGGATTGTACATTTAGATTTCTAATTTTCACGGGTCGTTTTCAGTCGCGACAATGTCGTAAATGTAGGTAAATGTGAAATTTATTTTGTAGCACAAAAAAAGTATGTAAAAAAAAGTTATATATAAAAAAATATCCAGCGTTTAAAATAGGAAATACATACATACACGTGGAAATACACAATATGTCTGGAAAATACGTTTAGACAAAATAATAAAACGCAATAAAAAAAAACTCGTCACTAAAAGCAAGCAAACTTTCAAAATCCTCTCCCGTAAATGATATTGTTCATCTCTGTCACTATCGCGTCGGCTTTGCGACAGGTTTAAGAAAATTTTAATATCAGGTATATTTTTTTTTATTTCAGGTGTGTTGCTTGCTGTTCCCATTATGGCGGCTGTGATCTTATTGTTGAAACGTGGAAGTTTAGCTTTAAAGAGAGCAACCAATAGTGACAAATAGGATAATCAAGAGAGAGGTTGTGTAAATATAAGAGAGTAAAGAAATAATAAGATAGGTAGTGTTTATAAGGCAACAAATTACTGATGTAATCTTCTTCTTTTTTGGAGTTTACTCCTTAAGAATCGATTTGCATATAATACTAATATAAACCACTTGTCACTGTAATTAATAATGCAGACAATGTTGATTTAATTACTATTTAAAAAAATGATAATAGTCTGATAATAATAATTACATAATTTATCAACATTCCCAATGATATATTTATGCACATCTGAAATTGACTATTGTAAAAAGATTAATGTAAAATATTTCGTCGATTACTTATAATAAATGTATATGAAATGAATAAATATACATTTATATATGTATATTATTTTCATTAATTTGTTAATTTACCCTTTCATACAGTATCAATCTTTTTTAAGTTAAATAAACTCTTTTTGCGTATGGTTAGACTATCGAACTTAAGGAGTAAACTCCAGTCGTGCGTCGGAGCTGACACCCACATTTTTTTTATAAACCATTTTATAATTTTATATTATTATAATGTTTTATCCCTCTGGCATCCTTGTACAGGCCCTGCAAGAATACCAGCGCTGTTATGGTGGGAATATTCGTTCCCACGATAACAGCATTGAGCTGAGGCAGGGTTCTGATTTGCTATTCTTCTTTCTCCTTTGTATTTCTCTGTTTCTGTTTTAATCATTGTTTTTTTTATGTATTTGCGTGTATAGCCAATAAATACTTTTTCTTTCTTTCTTTATTCAATAAAATTAATTTGTGTTTATTTTTTGTAGGATGCTTTTATTTATGACTTTGTAAAGAATAACTTCACTCGAAACTTGACAACTGAATTTTATCAACTTTACTTAAGGACTGCGTAAAGCGAGAGCACGCAGCGTCACTAAGCGCATTCTATCGTCTGTACTGCGGAGAGTGTTCTGAGGAGTTATTCTCTCTTATCCCACCTGCTTCTTTTCTTCAGAGGACCACGCGCGCTGGCCTTCGTTGTCACCGTCTAACTGTGGCCACAATTCCAACGCGTACAAATAAATTTGGTGACTCATTTCTTTGTAGCACCATCCGTAAATGAAATGCTCTGCCCTCTCACGTGTTCCCTCCCTCTTACAACCTGGGATCCTTTACAAGAGGCGTGAAGAAGCAACGTGCAGGCCGGCAGGGTGAGGATGGCTGGTGTAGCAGGTAAGACTGCTGTATCAGCTATCTTCACGTCTGGACTTCACCTTCACTTAACATCAGGTGGGGTGGAGTCATCTACTCCCTAGACAAGCTGTGAGACATGACCACGACACTCAACCTAGGGAATAGGTTGCCCGGTGGTGGCCCAACTCCGACTAAATCGGCTAGACCCAACCGCCATCTGCATCTACTGCCACTGGACAGATCGAAAAATATCTATTTTTCAGGAAGGTCACTTGATTGCTGCCAAATATAAATTAAATAAATATTTTCTCTTTCTGCGTTCTTCGAAGATGACCGGTCTTCCAGAGCGGGGCTACGATGACAACCAAAGGGACCATCGCGTGCGCCGACGCTGTAAAGATACCTGAAAACACGTAATAGACGAGAAATCACTGCGTTCTACTTGAGCGTCACTGTCCTACTCCCCTTTTTTATCTTATGGCAAGGCTCTGCCCATAGTTTCCTTTTCTACTGGTTTGCTTTGCAAGACGAATCGTTTGGTCGATTTCCTTGTTGTGAGACAACTTTATGTATTCCGATAGAATTATTAGGAACATTTTAGGTAGGCACCTCAATTCGAAAAACAACTGCTGCCATTTGGTAGACAGATTTGAAATAGGCTTGGCAAAATAAATCTGAAAACATTTTATGTTATTAAAATATAGACGTTCACAACAATCAATGACATTAATTCTTTCTTCCAAAGACTATGGAGATCTGCCATGTCAAATTGCTAAATATTTTATTATATTCTCTTTGAATAACGTTCCTTGTTCGTTCATTATTTATGTATTCATGAATTAAAGGGCACATCTATGAAACGTACCGATAATAAAATAGCTACTGATATTTTATTAATGAAATAATAAAGACAAAACAATATTACAACATTTACTATAATTATTATATTTCATAGAAACTAGCGCCACCAACATCTTCACTGACTCACAATAAAGTTTCACAAACACTGCCGTGAGATGGCTCCACCTTGCATACTGCACTGTTTTTCCATTGGTTCATGCTTTTCATAATGAAAAATATAATAATATTTTTCTTCACATGAATAAACGATTTCTTAGAATAATTGCATTCGACAAAAACTACACAACAATCATCGATGCTAACTCGAAACTGCTTTCTGGAAACACTTTTTTAGTTACTTATCCATTTTGAGACACTCACAACCTGCACGAGCACAACGTTTTCACAAGAACAGTGAAAGTTCCATTTTTATTAGGTAGGTGCCTGCTGATTATAACGTGAAATATGGACAAACGGCACATCCTACGACGTTGCAAAAAAAACTGTACCGTATAGGCTGTCAGAAGTGAATAATGAAAATGACGATCTGTCAAACTGGCTAACTGTCAAACGTAGAGTATGTAGAAGAATTTTGTCGATCCACTGACGACCTCCGTGGTGATGACGGCTATGACGCCGGTTTTGGTGGTCGCATCTCTGGGGGTCCCGGGTTCGAATCCCGGTCGGGTCAATATAGAAAAAAGGACTTTTCGATATTGTCTCGGGTCTGGGGTAGTATTAAGTGTAACATGTTAGTAGTAAGTGAGTAATAGTAGGAATAATAGTAGAATTAAGGAAAAATCAGGAAAAATTAAAATGGTAGGAAATAAGTCGAAAGTAGAAAATAAGGTCCTAGGTAGTAGAAAATGAGTCAGAAGTAGAGAAAATAAGCGAAAATATGCTAGAATTAAGAAAATACTACAAGAAAGTTAATAGTATAAGTATTCCTCCGAATAGTAAAACTCGAAAAATATCTATTTTTCAGGAAGGTCACTTGATTGCTGCCAAATTCAGGAATTTAAATTCGCAATTCATTTGGAAAATTACTTACTTTTTGACTCTTTCTCCATCATCGAAATGATAAATTAGCATTGTGAACGCAAATAATATCGAAAGGAAAAAAAGTATTGTTTATTATTTATAATAAGTATTGTCGGGGCCGAAGTAAATATTTTCTCTTTCTGCGTTCTTCGAAGATGACCGGTCTTCCAGAGCGGGGCTACGATGACAACCAAAGGGACCATCGCGTGCGCCGACGCTGTAAAGATACCTGAAAACACGTAATAGACGAGAAATCACTGCGTTCTACTTGAGCGTCACTGTCCTACTCCCCTTTTTTATCTTATGGCAAGGCTCTGCATATAGTTTCCTTTTCTACTGGTTTGCTTTGCAAGACGAATCGTTTGGTCGATTTCCTTGTTGTGAGACAACTTTATGTATTCCGATAGAATTATTAGGAACATTTTAGGTAGGCACCTCAATTCGAAAAACAACTGCTGCCATTTGGTAGACAGATTTGAAATAGGCTTGGCAAAATAAATCTGAAAACATTTTATGTTATTAAAATATAGACGTTCACAACAATCAATGACATTAATTCTTTCTTCCAAAGACTATGGAGATCTGCCATGTCAAATTGCTAAATATTTTATTATATTCTCTTTGAATAACGTTCCTTGTTCGTTCATTATTTATGTATTCATGAATTAAAGGGCACATCTATGAAACGTACCGATAATAAAATAGCTACTGATATTTTATTAATGAAATAATAAAGACAAAACAATATTACAACATTTACTATAATTATTATATTTCATAGAAACTAGCGCCACCAACATCTTCACTGACTCACAATAAAGTTTCACAAACACTGCCGTGAGATGGCTCCACCTTGCATACTGCACTGTTTTTCCATTGGTTCATGCTTTTCATAATGAAAAATATAATAATATTTTTCTTCACATGAATAAACGATTTCTTAGAATAATTGCATTCGACAAAAACTACACAACAATCATCGATGCTAACTCGAAACTGCTTTCTGGAAACACTTTTTTAGTTACTTATCCATTTTGAGACACTCACAACCTGCACGAGCACAACGTTTTCACAAGAACAGTGAAAGTTCCATTTTTATTAGGTAGGTGCCTGCTGATTATAACGTGAAATATGGACAAACGGCACATCCTACGACGTTGCAAAAAAAACTGTACCGTATAGGCTGTCAGAAGTGAATAATGAAAATGACGATCTGTCAAACTGGCTAACTGTCAAACGTAGAGTATGTAGAAGAATTTTGTCGATCCACTGACGACCTCCGTGGTGATGACGGCTATGACGCCGGTTTTGGTGGTCGCATCTCTGGGGGTCCCGGGTTCGAATCCCGGTCGGGTCAATATAGAAAAAAGGACTTTTCGATATTGTCTCGGGTCTGGGGTAGTATTAAGTGTAACATGTTAGTAGTAAGTGAGTAATAGTAGGAATAATAGTAGAATTAAGGAAAAATCAGGAAAAATTAAAATGGTAGGAAATAAGTCGAAAGTAGAAAATAAGGTCCTAGGTAGTAGAAAATGAGTCAGAAGTAGAGAAAATAAGCGAAAATATGCTAGAATTAAGAAAATACTACAAGAAAGTTAATAGTATAAGTATTCCTCCGAATAGTAAAACTCGAAAAATATCTATTTTTCAGGAAGGTCACTTGATTGCTGCCAAATTCAGGAATTTAAATTCGCAATTCATTTGGAAAATTACTTACTTTTTGACTCTTTCTCCATCATCGAAATGATAAATTAGCATTGTGAACGCAAATAATATCGAAAGGAAAAAAAGTATTGTTTATTATTTATAATAAGTATTGTCGGGGCCGAAGTAAATATTTTCTCTTTCTGCGTTCTTCGAAGATGACCGGTCTTCCAGAGCGGGGCTACGATGACAACCAAAGGGACCATCGCGTGCGCCGACGCTGTAAAGATACCTGAAAACACGTAATAGACGAGAAATCACTGCGTTCTACTTGAGCGTCACTGTCCTACTCCCCTTTTT